TCGCTGATGCCGATAGCCGTTGGAATTCCAACTTTTAGGTGGGACCCCCTAGGGGCCACAGGGGAGGTCCCTTCCGCGCGAGCGGGCTCGCATGGAATGCCCCTGAGGGTCATTCCGTTGAGCGGGCTCGCTTGCCGATAGCCGTTGGCTCCTTTTAGGTGGGACCCCTAGGAAGTCCCTTCCGCGCGAGCGGGCTCGCATGGAATGCCCTGAGGGTCATTCCGTTCGAGCGGGCTCGCTGATGCCGATAGCCGTGGAATTCCAATTTTTAGGTGGGACCCCCTGGGGCCACAGGGGAGGTCCGCGCGAGCGGGCTCGCATGGAATGCCCTGAGGGCTCTTGCGTGCGAGCGGGCTCGCGCCGTGGACTTTTATGGGCCCCTGAGGGCTCGCCATTCCGTCATTTTGTTCCGAGCGGGCTCGCGATATGCCGATAGCCGTTGGAATTCCAACTTTTAGGTGGGACCCCCTGGGGGCCACAGGGGAGGTCCCTTCCGCGCGAGCGGGCTCGCATGGAATGCCCCTGAGGGTCATTCCGTTCGAGCGGGCTCGCTGATGCCGATAGCCGTTGGAATTCCAACTTTTAGGTGGGACCCCCTAGGGGCCACAGGGGAGGTCCCTTCCGCGCGAGCGGGCTCGCATGGAATGCCCCTGAGGGTCATTCCGTGCGAGCGGGCTCGCTGATGCCGATAGCCGTTGGAATTCCAACTTTTAGGTGGGACCCCCCTAGGGGCCACAGGGGAGGTCCCTTCCGCGCGAGCGGGCTCGCATGGAATGCCCCTGAGGTCATTCCGTGGAGCGGGTTCGCTGATGCCGATAGCCGTTGGATTCCACTTTTAGGTGGGACCCCCTAGGGGCCACATGGGAGGTCCCTTCCGCGAGCGGGCTCGCATGGAATGCCCCTGAGGGTCATTCCGTTCGAGCGGGCTCGCTGATGCCGATAGCCGTTGGAATTCCAACTTTTAGGTGGGACCCCCTGGGGGCCACAGGGGAGGTCCCTTCCGCGCGAGCGGGCTCGCATGGAATGCCCGAGGATGATGATCATGATGTGTGTGTCTGTGTGTGTGTGTGTGTGTGTGACTGGGTGTGGGTGTGTGGCCCGTGGGTGTGTGGCCCGCGGCCGTGCAGAGAAAACAAGAACCCCACTGAGGATGTGGGGAAAAATAGTCTGGGGACTATTTTTGGGGTATTGTTTGACCTTTTTGGAGTATTTTTTGGTTATTTTCGGGGTACTTTTTAATTTTCGTCGAAAATCCCCCTGTAGGGGGACACGCCCGACATAAGACCACCCTCGCCCACCACAGGCGGGGCTTCACCCGGGACCCCCCTCTTGAGGGCTTTATTTTCTCAGAGGCCGATTGGTTTTCCTTTGTCTTTCCTTCTCAGGAGGCGGGCGGAACCCCGATCTGCTTCCAATGCCTTCCACGGTCAGGAGCTTTGGCTTGGCGTGTCGCATCGCCGGCTCTACCACGCTTCGGCGCGACACGCTAATCACGTCCTGGTCCCCCGGCATCATCGGGTAGAGCTTCCCAGTCCCCCGCCCCGCGGAGCGGAACGACACGGCATCCGCTCGCACGGCATAGCGTGTCGCCAGGGCCACCGCCGCGACATGCCAAGCCACAGTTCCTGACGGTATTGTCCTGCCCACTCCTGGGATCCTCCGGGCCCGTCCTCGGGGGCAGCGCTCGGGAGAAGGACAGGCTCAGGCCCAGAGATCCTACGTCGCGATTTTTGCAATACGGGGCCCCCAGAAGTCTCGACCCGTTGCCCAAGACCGGCCTTCTCATCCCGAGCCGTTTCTGGACGGTCCCGCGGAGCCCGGCGAGGGCCCCTCGAGGCCGAAGATCGAGGAAAACTTCCGCCTTGATCTTTGTCAATGCGTCGGAGGTCTGGGGAGAGAGAGAGAGAGAGAGAATGGAGGAGAGGACTGGCTAGAGACGGCAAGTGAGGAGGCTCCTTCCAAAAATGATGAGTGAGGGGGGATTCATTCACTCTCGCTTGCCCATGGATCGCCCACGGGGGTCCGGCGGGGCACGCCGCCCGGGAGCCGTGCGGGCTCGCCGCTCGGGAGCCCGTCGCCGAGCGGCCGGCGACGCCTCGCCGCTTCCGCATCGATGCCTCGCACCCCGGAGCTGGTCCGCCTCGCTGCTGCTCCTAGCGTCCTGCCCCTTCGGGGCCTCTTCAGAGCCAGGGGTTCTTCTTCTTCTTCTTCTTCTTCTCCTGCTTGCTCTTGTTGCTCTTACGTTTGCCATTCTTCTTCTTATTGTTCGTGTTCTTCCTCTTTCTCTTCCTCTTCCTCTTCCCCTTCTTCTTGTTCTTCTTTTCTTCTTCTGGATCTCTTACCAGATCCTCTTCTGATGTTTTCCGAACGAGGGGCGCTCTGGCACCACCTTGGGGGACGCCTCCAGGACAAGTACTACGGGACCCCCCTGCCGCGGCTGCCGGTGCTCGTCCGGCGGCAGTTGGAGGAGCGAGTCGCCCCGCTGCCGCAGTACCGCAAGGAGATCCGCCGCCCTTCGGGCCGCGTCGTCGTCGTCGTCGGCGGCGGCGGCGGCGGCGGCGGCGTCGTCCTCGTCCTCCCCCTCCTCGTCCCCGCAGATCCAGGCGAAGCAAGGAGAGCGCGACGGCCAGGTGTTCGCCGTCTTCGGCCTCTACGGCCGTTTTCCGGCCCCAGGGTTGTCAGATACCCGGCCGAGGACGGAAAACTGGCCCATGGGAAAGGGGCGAGATCCCCGGGGGGCGACGTCACAAATCAAAAAGCGACGTCGGAGGAGAGGGTCGGGGTCCTCCTCCTCGTCCTTCTCCTTCTCCATCTTCTTCCTCGCCCTCCCTCCTCTCCTCATCGTCCTCTTCTCGCCTCCGCTCCTTCGCTTTGCTTCGCTGTAGCGGGCAGATGGTCGAATGGTGCGGACAAGCCCCAAGCGGAACAGCTCAATGTCACAACGGGAGCCTCAAGCACGCTCCTAGAAGTCCGCCGCCTCTCTCCCTGCGTTCCCCTTGTCCTCCTCCTCGTCATCGTCTTGTTCTCGTCCCTCGTCTCCTCCCTCCTCGTCCTTCCTCCTCCCCCTCCCCGAGGCTGGGGGTTTGTGCACATCCACCGCCCAGGGAGCCAGCGTCCCAGGGCCCCGGCAGGCGGACGAGTTTGGACACTTTTTTGGGGCCCCAGGCTGGGCCCAAAGGTAATTGTCCTTAAGTCGGGCGTGTCCCTCTACAGGGGGATATTCAAAAATAGTAGAAAAGTAGTCAGGGGACAATTTTTTGACCATTTTTGACCATTTGGGGGTATTTTTGGGTATTTTTTTTTTGGTTCGCCCAGAATCCGCCTGTAGGGGGGCATGCCCGACCTAAAATTATCCAGAGCCACAACCTCCTGGGGTCCTGGGGCATCGGCTCGCTGGGCGGCGGATATGTCTGAATTCTGGCCTCGCGATCTCCCTCTCCTCTCCTCCTTTGGGGGCCCTCGGACGGCGCGGTGGCCACACCGTGTGGTGAGTCAGTGGGGATCCGGGGTGGCCTCCCGGTTTTGGGACTCGGGCTGTTCTCCGAGGGCGCCTCGGGCGACTGGGGCCTCCAGGGCCCCAAGACGTGTGGTGACGCACCGTGCGGTGAGGTCTTTGGGGGACTCCGGGGTCGCCGCGCGGTCCGTCACCGCACGGTTGTGGTACAGGCCTCGGCAAAAATAGCGAACACGCATGCCACAGTCGTCGGTCAGCGCCTCCCCCTCTCCCCAGGGTTCCAAGCTGGCGGTGGGTCTGACGAGCTGTGCTTCGACCGCAGTCTCCCCCGCGCGTGCCAGCTTTGAGTTTTGGGGCAGGGCTGGACCTAACGGTGTTTTGGCGATTTCGTGGGTCGTTTTCGTCTCGACCTCGTCTTGCGTGAAAGGCGAATCGAAGGCAAGACGAGGGAAAACGAAGACAAGACGAGAACGAGAAACACCGCTTCGGTTCAGCCCTGGGAGCGGGGGAGTGTCCACCGACTGTTCCCCCCCCCCCCCCAACGTGCCACCAGCTCCTCTCCTCCCCCCTCTGTCCTCGACCCCTGCCGCCCTCCCGTCCGCGACGGGGGTCGCCGGGGCGCACGCGGCGCCGCCCTTGCCCGCCAAAGCTGCTCCGGGGCGTGCGGGGGCACAGGGTGGCCGGTGGCTCGGCGGCGCCCCTCTCGCGGGCCAGGAGGTTGACACCAGCACCAAGATCGGCGGTGTGCCTCCGCCGAGGGCAGGAGATCCCGATCTCGGGGATGGTGGTGATGTTCTGGCTCCCACGGTGGCCGAAGTTTTTTTTCACCAGCGCCGAGATCCAGGATCACCTTGCCCCTGTGGAGGCAGCCCCCTGCCTTGGCATTGGTGCCCATTTCCAGGCCTCCAACCCTCGCCTCCTCCTCTTCCTCCTCCTCCTCCTCCTCCTCCTCCTCCTCCTCCTCATAGGCATGGCCCGGGCGTGTGCACGTCTCCCTCGGCGAGGGCCATCGGGGAGAATTCTGGATCGTCCGCGAGAAGATGCGCGCACGGAGCCGAAAGAATGTGCGGGGAATGGGCGTCCGAGCGACGGCGAGCCTCCATCCCCTCGTCCTCCCCCTCCCAGCCCTCGAACAAGAGAGAGAACAGCATGAACGTGAACGTTCGGAGGTCCGCGCAGATTTCTCGGGTCCGTGCGGGGCTCTGGAGGTTTACGTTTGTGCAGCTCTTCCCTTTGTCGACTCCTGCTGACCGAGCGAACCTCTGGCTGACGGACCGCCCGACTGATCCCGACTCGGGCCAAGCATTGGATGTGCCGTGCGCGAGGCATCTCGTGATGCACTGGCAGACGAGGAGCATAAGGATGATGAGGAGGAAGCTGGCATTTCGACGGCTGCGAGGCGTCCCGTGATGCACTGGTAGGCCCAGAGCCCAGGCGTCTGCGTGTTTTTTCGACACGTGACCCCCCTGACCTCTCGACAGCTTCCCAGGAATTGTTTTGTCAGCCCAGATCGCTGTCTGATGATTCTGGAAGCCCGAAGCGGGCACCTGGACGCCGAAGCTGGCGAACAAAAGTCCGCCCCGTTCTCCACCCGAGAAGTTTGGGGTTGAAGACGTCAGAGGCCTGCAGAGGAGAATGATGATGATGATGATGATGATGATGATGAGGAGGAGGAGGAGGAGGAGGAGGAGGAGGAGGAGGACGAGGAGGAGGCGGAGGAGGAGGAGGATGGAGAGGAGGAGGGGGAGGTAGGAGGAGGAGGAGGAGGAGGAGAGAAGGGAGAGGGGGAGGGGTAGGAGGAGGAGGAGGAGGAGGAGGAGGAGGAGGAGGAGGAGGAGGAGGAGGAGGAGGAGGAGGAGGAGGAGGAGGAGGAGGAGGAGGAGGAGGAAGAGAGCGTTCTTATTCCTGGACGATAGCAGGAGTTACTGGAGGGGGGGGGCGGCGTAACCTCACGTTTCGCGCTGGCGCTGCCTGGGAATGTCTCCAAGGACAACTCGGAGGTCAGCACGAATCGTGGCGTAACTGGGGGTGTGGGTGAGGGCGGCCAGGACCTGTATGTAACGGCCGATATCGCGAAACATGGGAATGCACGTTTTTTTATTGTTTTTGGTTCGTTTTTTTTTGTTTTTTTGTTTTTGTCCTCTCTCTCTTTCTCTTTGTGCCTCTCTCTCTCTCTCCCTCTCCTTTCCCCTCTTTCTCCCTCACTCTTTCTCGCAGGAGGAGGAGGATGATGAGGATGAGGAGGAGGATATGAGATGATGAGGAGAAGGAGGATGCGAAGCCAAGGAGGAGGCAAGGAGGAGAGGAGAGGGAAGGAGGAGGAGGAGGAGGGCGGGGGGGGTGGGAGTAGGAGGAGGAAAGTCACTTCGTGGAGAAATGAAGTGATAAAGGAGGGGAGGAGGAGAGGAAGGAGGGAGGGCTGGTGCGAAACGACGTTCTTTCTCTTTCTAGCCGTCAGGGATCAGAATTAAGAGGATATGATGATGAGATATGATGATGATGATTGATGATAAGATGATGATGGATGATGATGATGATAGATGATGATGATGATGATGATGATGATGATGATGATGATGATGAGGATGAGGATGAGGATGAGGATGAGGATGAGGATGAGGATGAGGATGAGGATGAGGATGAGGATGAGGATGAGGATGAGGATGAGGAAGAGGAGGAGGAGGAGGGGGAGGAGGAGGAGGGGGAAGTGGATGAGGAGGAGGAGGAGGGGGAGGAGGAGGAGGAGGAGGAGGAGGAGGAAGATGAGGAGGTCACACCGATCCTGGCCTTGCCAGCCCTGGGCGCGGGATTCCCGTAATCGTCTGCCCGGCAAATCGCAGGCCAGGGTGGGGGTGTGTGGGGGGGCATTCACTGACCCTTCCAGGAAGCGCAACACATGTAGATTGAGGCGCGTGGGTTAGCGACGTGTCCCGCTTCCGCGTCGCTAAATGAGGCGGCACTGGCTTCGCACTCCGGGGGGCACTTTCCCCGATCAGTGGATTCCTCTCGCTTCGCGGGGTGCACGTCCAGAATATGTAGAGCATGTTCGTTTGGGCCCTCCTGGGAACCTTTTGGAGGTCTTTTGGGGCCTCTTGGGGGCATCTTGGTGCTGCTTCGGAGCTTGCTGGGGGCGTCTTTGGGCCGTCTTCGGGCGCTCTTGGGCCGCCTGGCGTCTTTGGAGGCTGTCTTGTGGGCCTCTCTGAGTCGTCCTGGTGCCCTCACGGGGCCTCCCAGAGCCGTCTTGGGGGTCTCTTGGCCCGCCTTGGGGCCCACTTGGGCTTTCTCGGGGCTGTCTTGGAAGCCTCTTGGGCCACCTCGGGGCCATCCTGGTGCCCTCTCGGGGGTCTACCTGGACCGTCTTGGAGCTAGCCTGGAGGCTTCTGGAGCGGTCGCGTGGTGTCTGAAGCCCGAGAAGTCGAGAATGGCAACGTCTTTCAGGAACCTCAGACAACACAAAATGAGGCGTTCCAGAAAGGGCCTTGCCTTCGAGGATCGACGGAGTTGTCATCTCTTCCTCGGCGGAAGGCGGCGGAAGGGCGGCGGAAGGTCGGCGGAAGTAAAACGAGGCCGCCTCCGCCGGCGGAAGCTGGCGGACGGCGGCGAAAGTAAAAGATGCGCCCCCAAGAGATGAACACGTTTTTGGGTTCATGGTTTCCGGAGTCCGCCAACTTTTGGTTGCGTCTGGAGGCTTGCTTCGGGGTCCTCTTGGAGCCCTTTCGGGTCGTCTTCAGGGCCTCTTGAGCCATCTCGTGGGCCTTGGGCCGTGCTGCGGCCATCCCTACTCGGCCATCTTGGAGCCATCTTTGGGAATCTTTAGACCCTCCCGAGCCGGCTCGAGGCCCTCTTCGACCTTCGAGAAGCCCAATCAGCCCCAATAATCGATGTCCCTGGGTATGTGTACGTTTGTGAGTCCCCGAATGGGTACAGCATCTTTGGTCAGTGGATGGGCCGTGGCTCTGGTGGGGGTTTAGGGGGGTACATACTGATATGCAACAATGCAACATAAGGTGCTCTGAACCTTATGTATGATCGGACATACGAAATCT